GAAAATTAACTGCTGATTTTAAAATATCAGTGAGGATGGCTTTATTATCTACATCAACTGACTTTTGTATAAGAGAAATCAATGTGAGGCAATATGTGTAGCTTACACATTTGGAAAAAAGGCTAGACAGCAACTGAAAGAAAGTCCGTCTTCCAATATCCGGAATTCAAACGAAACAGTGGCCCACAACGGTCAAGGGGTGAATTCTATGACGCAACATGTGTTCAGAAGATTACAAAATAAATAAAATGTCGCCCATTGCTACGTAAATATCATACAATATAACGTACCTTCGAAATATCCCAGTCCGAGAACTTCACAACGCACCGTGCCACAACACAACCGCACCAACCGCCGGCAGCCGCAGAACTGAACAATGGCGGCCGGAAATGACGGCCTCGCCGGAAGTGAAGGAGGCGTTTTAGAAGCAGTCTCAGACTCGTCGCTGCTCACCGTAGCAGGGATTTATGAGGCACTACCGAATCAAAGTCGTTTCGTCTCATTCGGCAACACGAAAACCCTACCAGGACTAGTCCGATGATGAGTTTCCGACTAGGTGGCGTGTGCGCAGGATCATATTTAAAGCACGTGCAGGGCGGTGCCTTATTAGCCGACATAATAATAATATGACACGATAATGAAACACGCATGTAACTAGCATGCAACAAGCTTCTGGTGGATTTAATTATGAGACTATGCGTAGTTTTCCGACACAGCGCGAAATCTGTTGATAAGCAGGAAGGGGTGTTAGGGAAGCATTTAAGCTATTAGGTTACCGTTTGTAACCAATTGTTTCACGAGGCCACTCTTTAACTAACAACTCTCAGGCTGATAATGTCCATATATATAACAGCAAGGTACAATGGACGACCGTGTAACCCACTCCTTGTCATAGAATTGGCTCGTGACATTTTTTACAGTGAACGGCGCTGAAGAAGTCAATAGACGAAACCGGTACGCCTTTAATGTAATTGTTTTAATAGTTCGATTTGTGGAGCCTGGAGGTTCATGTACTCTCGATGCTGATCCAATGTTGAAGACTGAGCCCAGAGCCGCTGTCTGTCAAGGTCTTCTCCAAGTGGTCCACCAGTCGGTTGACGGAGCCCAACAGCAGGTGCAGCTCCATCGGCGACAGCGCGTCCAGCACCAGGACGTCGTCGGCGCCGGGCAGCAGCGGCATGTGCACGCTGTTGTCGTAAGCCTTGAGTGGCTGAGTCCGTCCGCGGTCCAGTGAGTCAGCCCTCCAGCGCTGATAGTTGTGCCGGTTCGAACCCAAACTTCTAGACTGACCCTTGACGAGCTCAGCGAACATGCTGCGAGGTAAGTCGCACCCCGGACATGGGTGACATGACCCGGCTGGGTTCTGGAACAGAGTTAAGGCAAATTGTTATTCCTCTTTATGCGGCATATTTCGAATATTATTATTACCTCTGATTGCATAAATTGATTGTTGATCGTGCTTTCTTTCAGGTAGAATAATGCCAAGTTCGCAAACGTCAAAATTAATGTAATGCTTAAGTTCATACTTATCTTTTTCAATGATAACTTATACTAGCTTCTGATATGGCTTTAAATAACGTAAATAAGGTTGCGTAAATATTTAATGTCATCTATGCATCGTGCTACATGCGCGCGAAAATTTCTACTTCTTAGCGTATGCGAAAGTCAATCCTGATATTTGTTATGCTCACCTGAAGCCCGCACAAGATGTTTGCCATCTTCAGGTCAGCTGCCACGATGAGGCCTCCGATGTCTTGCAATCGGATGTGCTGGAGGAGCTCCGACATGACCTCGTAGTTCTCCGCAGCGTTGGGAGCGACGGCCGGCAGCAGCAGCCGTTTCACCCCGTCTCTCTCATGGATGGCGGCGACGTGCTGGTTCCTTCATCGTCGTTGTTGCTGGAGTCAGGGTTTCCTATGGCGTTGCAGGTCACTTTCGGCATGCCGCCACCGCCGTCCATTCCCACCTTCACCAGGTGGTTATGGGGGTCCACTTGGCGATGACGGACGACTCGCTGCAGTAGCTCGCTGACGTCGCTGCAGACAACAGCACACGTTGGCTGATCTCCGATGGTGAGTTACGCTGCCAAACAAGCCTTCCATCATCTTGTCTCGTTGACCAATAGCCTGGCTCAGGTTTGATGCGACAGCCGCTCGACTCATTTCTTTTCCCTTGGCAGTCGCTACCTTGAGTCTGGTTAGTTGACAGCCCGAGCGATTATTGAATCTGTAAGCAGGCTCCTGCTGGTACTCCCGGCTGTTCTTGTCTGGTCGATGGCCTCTTTTGTCGTCGTTTCTTCCGCAGTTTGCCATTGATGGATGAGCTCGATTTCTGGCACCATCGACAACAGCATTCCGAACTTGCGGAATCTGCTTGTTTAACAAGCACTAGTTTTGGAATCCTTTTTCGATGTCTAGCTTGGTTCCAATGCTGCTGCTCTTGGCGAGTTTAGCCCTGCAAGTTCCACATACCAGAGGGTAGTTTGATGTCTTTTGGGTCGTACCATTCGCGTTCCGGAACGACGGCTCGGATTCGTTTTAAAACGGTGGGTGTTTTTTTATTACCTTTCTGTAGACAAACAGCGCAAATCCGTCGCTGGCGCTGTTCGTGGTTCAATGCGATACAGGTCATCTTCCTCCAGTACCGCGCGCGGCGTGGCACTGACCTAGGATCGGTTTTTGACCGGTCACCAGCTGGGGCGGCCTTGAGCTGGGGCCGGTACAATCTCTGACAGCGAACCCCGCTCATTTTCCCTCTTCGGGCATGGAGCTCAGTTGGATTGTGCAAAACAGATATCAACAAATGCAAATAAAAAAGTGTTGCAAAACCAACTGACCAATAAATTTCCTTCAGAGTCATCCTGAATAGCTTAGATAGCGAAATGAGTCGTTAAACCAGCAATGACGTCAATTGCGTAGAGGAGCGACGGCTGAACGTTACTTCCGTAGCCCTACTGTCGGGCCGGGGCACGCGGTGTGCGAGTCGATAAGGGTGATTTCACGCTTCTGGGTGTTGGACTTTAGTCCATCGTGACGCCGAGTTGCGTTACGGAAGCTCATTGCTGGCTTCTGCACACGTATATGCACATTTACGCAGATTTTTTTAACGGATTACCGCATTCGACCTTCAGCATAACCCGACAAAACATGCTCTCCCTTTTAAAAGCCACGAAGCGGTCTGTTTAAGAAAAAATATCGCATTTTTACAAAAATGCAATTTTTGAGAAAGGTCATCGAAGTCGAACGATTTTGATAGAAATCATATTTCTGAAATCAGCTCACCGTCAGCTATCGGATAGTATATTTCATTTCTTTTCGTGGATGAAATCATTTTCCGACGAACCGTGAGGGCGCAGTGAGCATATTTAGAGCACCCATGGACACCATGCACAGACGGGGAGTAACGTCTCGGTCCATGGACGCGGGAACCGTGGGGGCAATGGGGGCATGCTGCCCTCACAACTTGAAGGCTGGGGGTGACGCCGCCCCCACAACGTAAATGAGTATTTTCGCTAAATATTTTGTTTTTGTTTAAGCTATAAAATGCATTATTTCGGTAGTTTTCAAAATAAAGTGGCCCAAATGCGAAAATAAAAATGGGGTAGTTTTGTTATTGGGACCCAAGACGCCCTCCCCTCCACGGTTGGATAGAATGGAATGAAGGCAAAAATAGGTGAGCCGACGAAAGTTACTTAGCGTAAAAAAAAAATCATGTTTGGTAGCTCTGATATCGTGGCGTTCCACTCATTTCCATTTAAGTGGCCATCCCACCTAACATTAGTTTTGAGTTTTCCCATACCTGCTACATTGCATAATTAAATCGAGACATCCAGGCATTTAAACGGCACGTGCATATACCACACTTTACAAAGTTTAATGCAATGCTTTAATATTACAAGCCGTGTGGTTCAAGGGGTGTGGTTAAACACGTTGAACCACACGGCTGCTGACGTCACTATCATATAGTTGTGAGCTTTTTGGCAGGTATGGGAAACACCTTCCAGCCCTAAGGCTGGGAATTCAATAAATGTCACCTTGCTTTTTTTAGCAAAATCACCTCGGGCCTAACGGTCCTCGGAGTTTTCGCTTAAAAACCTCGGTGACATTTATTGAATCATCCCGGCCCCGGGCAGGAATATATTGAGATAGCCACATTGGGGTCCCTAGCCATTGCCGATTTGGGCACTCACAACGAGAAATGCTTTACCTAATTCGGAAACATTTAATTTCAAAGTCTGCAGTTTTCGAATTAAAGGGACTATCCCACCTTCTAAAATGTTGTTAAAACCAGTTAAATTGTGCCCGACTTTATAGATTGGATGACCAGGAACACGGTTCTGGCATTTATTTTTCATTAAACATCTTAGGCTTCCCATATTCCAAACACAAACTTTCAAATATGTGACGTCACAGCCCAAAATTACCTCCTTCCCCAGGCCACATTACTGTCATAAAGCTGATTCTTTTTACTCTGTAGGCACCACAACAAAGTTCAGACCAAGTTTTAAGCGATTTTTCAACGAACAAACCCATTTAAATCAGAATGACTAAACGAGGTGACGTCACACTAACGGTCGCTCCATGTTGAAGATAGGGCCTTGTACAAGGCCCATTTTCAAATGAAGGGAACGAATTTCTTCAACACCAAGAGGCCGCGGGGGTTGCAACCTAGATAGATAGTGGTTTCTGAACCTCGCCGCAAACTTGGCTATCTCAACTCAAACCCCATGTTAAAGGTGGGATAGTCCCTTTAAGGGGCTAATGTATTTGAATGCCCCCTTCGGCGGCGCAGAGATGAAGTCCGCAGTAATTTTAATACTCTGCGTTTTTTTCAAATCTGTTTGATTACGTTATTCCACATTTTGCGAAATGAAGTGGCCTAAATCCGAAGAGAAAATTTAATTTCGGGTATCTTGGTTTTGTCCCCGGAATCGGTCTGCGCCACAGCCATGACCCTTGCCCCCACAACTTCAAACTAGTTCCCGCGTCCCTGCGTCTCACCTCTGTCTGCTGCTGGTCCAGCGCCGCAGCCCGCGGCGTGCTGTAGCCGGCACCCTGGACGGCAGCCGCTCCAAACAGCGCTGAAATGTAAAGTACAATGAATTAACCGTATAGCCAGCCATACCTTTTTATTGACGGTGGTATAACCAAAAAGTGATTAGAGAATACGAGTAGAGAGGCACTGCACGCAGAATTTATTCCTCACGTTGTGTTTACCTGCGTCGTGCTGGGGGCGTTTTTACGCCCCCCCCCCCTCGGGTTCTTCGCGAATGTCGCGCTGCCGTTTTTGGTACACTTTTTCATACATCATGCCTTTTCCGCTGCGCTGTAGCTCAATTGGTTCCCGAGTTAGCAGTTGGTAGATCTTCCAAAATTATTGAAATCGACTAAATTTGACCTTTGATATCTCTGGTAACCTGACCTTTGACCAAACCTTAAAAATCACCAATATGTTTTTCTCTTTATTTTATACGTTCTTTGATTTTTCCATTGCCGCTTACCGCGTGTCGCTACGTGGCCCAGAAGCCGAGCTAGACGGAGGGGGCGAGAATCCCCCAGCCCTCGGTGGAAAGTTCAGACCACCAGTACGGCGCGGGTTAATGTAAATAAATCACTTTTAACAAGAGTTTTTTACCTGGATTAGCACTTTAGTAGCTCGGGCTGAGCCTAGCACAAATCAGGAGCTTTGACGCCCCAGCGATCACCCTAGGCAAAGATTTTCCATTTCTCGTTTCGAAAAAGAGTGTCTTGTAGAAGAAGGTGTGCCTTGTAGAAGAATGCCAAGCATGCAGCCACTTCAGCATTATGCCAAACAGCATGCAGCTGGTTTTGAACTATGCAATATGATTGGTCAACCCGTTTGCAAACACTATTTTATATAAAATGTAGTTCTTCCTTTATGAATATAGTTTAAAGATTCCTTTTGTAAATACTACTGTTTTCTTTCGTATCATTTTAAGCATAAAAAACGTAAAACTTTGGCACAAAAATAATTTGAGGAAAGTGGTAAATTAAGTCAGCCTATTAGCAATATTTCACGTAATGATAGCTTCACAAACAAAAAAAAGAACATTTTATTTAGCATTTCAATCGGGTGCTCAAAATATTAAAGCATTGGGATAAAATTTCCCGTAGACTTATTTACAATGATGGGTCTGTAATGTTGAACTGATGACTTTGTAATGTTAAACATATGGTAAATAGGGCGACAACATCAACCCTTGCAGAGGCTCCCGAATTTCTGATTTGCAGTTTTCTGATAAAAAGTAAAAGGGAGGATTATACGGAAACTACACTATTGTGCTTAAGCCGTACATCCCTTATTAATGACATCATTAGTTTTAGTAAAAAAAAAAACAACAACGTTATTGATGAACCTTGTAACAACACTTAATTGAATATCTATTGTTTACTATCTCTTCTACATTGCTATTGTTTGGTATGAATCATCAGAATGCTAAAAGTGAATGCCTTGATAGATTCAAAGCAATTAATACGAGAAGAGATCTACAATGATAATTAGTCCCGGATGACGGTGGTGTTTTATCTGCGGCGATGCGTTGCCCGTCAGTTTCACCCGTCCACCCTCTGTGCCGGGTCGGAGTACGTGTTCGGAGGGAGGCGTGGCAGTCGTGTGCCGCTCACCGAGAGCTGATCTCACCTCACCGCTGAATACCCCCGTCACCGCCAGCTGTCGGCAAACACTGGCGTATCACCGCCGCTGAATACCCCCCCCCCCCCTCCCCCCCCTGTCTCTGCAAGCTGTCGGCAAACACTGGCGTATCACCACCGCTGATCGATCAGGCCGGTGGCTTCGGAGGCCATTCGGAAACCAGGCCGCCGCCCGCCACCCACAGCTCTGCCCTCCGCCCAACGTATACCGTCCACCTTCCACCGCCGCCCTATGTCCACCGCCTGCCGCCCAACGTCCACCGTCCACCACCCACAGCCGCCCTCCGTCTTCCTTCCATCGCCGCCTGCCGCCCACCGCCGCCCTCTGTCCACCGCCCTCTGTCCACCGCCCACCGTCCACCTTCCATCGTCCACGCGTAGTCGCTCGCCTTCCGTCGCACAATGTAGATATTTCATTTCATTTATTCTTTTATCACCAACGGGCGTTACCCCAATGACAGATGAAGTCAACAAATAAAACATTCAACAAATAAAACATTCATAACATTCAACATTCAACATATCAGCAGATGCGGGTATAGTATCGTGAATTAGCACAATTGCCAATGCATGTGTGGTGTGTACTTCATTCGTCATTTTACAACATATTGTCGGCCGTTTGAGGCGATGAATATGAAGCACGGTTAATTCATGCAAGTAATGAAAAGACATAAAGTAATCCGCTTGGCCTACCATGGAACATCAAGGTTTTACACGATGAATAGGTCAACCTTCTTTTGGAATGCCGTTTTCATGAAGTCAAGCATTTGATGTGTGAAATCCGCATGCTTACGCAATGACCTTTTTATGACCTTTTTGACCTTTTTGACTAAACATGGCTTTTTTATTGGACTTTTTCATGGTAAATTGGTATTCCGACTTGTTTTGGTTAATTAATTTTTTAAATCGCAACTGAATTTTAATTATTAGGTCGTTCAATAAGTAACGAACAATCGGTCATAACTTCTTTATTTCTTTATTTAACACTTTCAAACTTTCACAGATTATAGATCAGACATTTCTGAATGCAGCCTATGCCTCAAGCCAATCGCCGCCCGCCTGCACACACTTCTCCCAGCGTTCCGGCCAACGCCGGAATTCCGCCCGGAAAAACGCGTTTTCCGTCTTTTTCACCCAGTTCTTGACAGCGCACCTGACTTCAGCGTCGGTCTCGAAGTGTTCACCACGGAGGCCATCCTTCAGGGGACCAAAGAGGTGAAAATCTGAAGGAGCCAGGTTCGGACTGTAGGGCGGCTGGGACATGATATTCAGCCCCGTCTCGCGATCTGCTCGCGTGTGGCGTGAAACATGTGCGGACGAGCGTTGTCATGGTGTCATCCTGGTGGGCTTTCTTGAACCTGGGCGGACTATGGACAGCGGGCCGCTACATCACAGTCCTGCAGGAGACTGAGAAAAGCAATCCTGAAGAAGAGGCGCGGCTCGGATGTCAACAACATCACCATACACCATGACAACGCCCGACCACACTTGTCTCACGCCACGCGCGAGGAGATCGCGTGACAGGGCTAAATATCATGCCCCAGCCGCCATACAGTCCGGACCTGGCTCCTTCAGATTTTCACCTCTTTGGTCCCCTAAAGGATGGCCTCCATGGTGAACACTTCGAGACCGACGCTGAAGTCATGTGCGCTGTCATGAACTGGGTGAAAAAGACGGAAAACACGTTTTTCCGGGCGGAATTCCGGCGTTGGCCGGAACGCTGGGAAAAGTGTGTGCAGGCGGGCGGCGACTGGTTTGAGGCATAGGCTGCATTCAGAAATGTCTGATCTATAATCTGTAAAAGTTTGAAAGTGTTACATAAAGAAATAAAGAAGTTATGACCGATTGTTCGTTACTTATTGAACGACCTAATATCTGACATTAATGATTTGCGGTAATCGCGGAGACCGTAAATGAAGGTAATTTATGCTTAATTTCAATGGAGTTAGATTGTTGACGCTATATAAGGTCTTGTTCTGAAAATTTCGGGCCGCTACCATATCAAGATGATGTTGAGTTAAGAAGTTCAGTCATCGCATTGAGCCCATGTCGTTAGAAAATGGATGGTGGTAGGCACTGGTTGAGTTCTCATAACTCTGAATTCTGAGCTTTGATATCTGAAAAAGTACGCATCGATTCGTAAATGATTCATTTTTTCCATGCTGTGAAGGCAATTACTGGGCTTTAAAATTCGTCAGGTACCCCTCATTAATTATTTGGGTTCAATTTCAGCATACGAGCGGAAGTAGAGCGACTCACCCACACAGATGACGAGAAGTGGTGGTCTATGGACGTCCATGGCAGTCGCGCGGTGGCTTAGCAGCACATTCCGACCTGTCCAGCCTCAGCAGCCCACTCTGTGCACGTCCCGCCCCACAGTCACAATCCACGCAGCACACAGTCCTCCTCCGTCCGAGGCGAGCCAAAGGACACCGCCTGCAGGTATGTGACACAGCACTCAGGGCCGTGTCTGAACCTGCAGAGAACCACGGCCACCGCCACCTGTCCCCGCGACCTCCGCTGCCGGTCTCGGGGCTTCTGTGGCGCGCGGCGCGCTGGTCTGACCGGGTCTGTCGCGCGCGGCGTGCTGGTCTGACCGGGTCTGTCGCGCGCGGCGCGCTGGTCTGACCGTCCGGTGCCGCCGCCGGCCAGTGGAGATCGCCGAGCCGTCAGCTGCGCCGCCGCCGCCGCAGAAACAACTGCTGTCCGAGCCGAGCCGAGCTGCACGTGCCGCCCCGGTGAAAAGCCGGCGACACGGAAACAGCAGCCGCGCCGCCGCCGGCGAGACGACGGGCGCCGAGAGCGCCGGATGGCGCCGTCTGGGTCCGTCCCGGGTCCGGATACAGGGCGGTCTGGGTCCTTCCCGGATCCGGATACAGGGCGGTCTGGGTCCGCCTACTGGACATTGGGCTATCCGTGCCTGTTCATCAGACATTGGGGGATTTACGTATGTCCGTCCATCAGGCTGTGTGGCTGTGTCCATCGTCCGCCTATCAGTCTCTGTGTGTGTAGATCCGTCCATATAACATTGTTTCACCTGTGTCCAGGACTTTGTACTTTGTAGTGCAGTCGGTGTCCAGTCCAGGTGTCCAGAAAACTGCGTGATCTTTGGTGAACACAATGGCATGTGTCCGGGACACTTTTGTCCGTGTCCCGGACACTGTGTGGTCTGTGTTCAGGAGACTGTGCGGTCTGTGTCCAGGTCACTGTGGTATGTGTCCAGGATACGCTGTGGTACGTGTCCAGGTCACTGCAGTCTGTGTCCAGGACACTGTGCGGTTTGTGTCCAGGACACTGTTTGGTCTGTGTTCAGGACACTCTGTGGTACGTGTTCAGGACACTGTGCGGTCCGTGTCCGGGACACTGTGCGGTCCGTGTCCGGGACACTGTGCGGTCCGTGTCCGGGACACTGTGCGGTCCGTGTCCGGGACACTGTGCGGTCCGTGTCCGCCGCCGGGCTCAGGAGCGCTCGATATCTGTCTGGCCAGCGCGGCCCAGGAGCGGGACACCAGACTTTCCATTGGTCATTAGTGATGACGTGTAGTGGAGAAATGGCACGGTGCTCGTCGTAGATATCGCCAAATTGCCAGTCGTCAGCCGGGATAATGGTGAGTTCATCACTTACCGCTGACATGTCTGACATCACACAACTCTAGTTATGACACATGAAAACCACGCCGTAACGTCTTCCGAACACAAATGATACGTCCCCAAACCATGTCAATAAAAACTTGGAAGTTTATTGTATTATTTGCGCATAATATGGTCGTTGTGCTGATACTTCACGTAATTCGAAGAAGAAAAAAATGTGTCACTTTAAGTAAAATGTGTCCAAAATGAAATTTGTGAATATGCCCGCATATGCTTTCCATAACGACCAGGATGTTCACTAAGCTCATAATGCATAAACATTTCTCCAATCTAAAACGGCCATTCGCTGAGTTACTCACTCTTCGGTAATGGTAGATACGCTACACTTAACCCGCGCCCCGTAGGGCTACCGGCGGACCCTACCACCCGTAGGGGGGGGGGGGGCCGTTTCGGCCCCCCCCCCCTAAGATCTCGGAAAGTTACCGGCCGATTTTCAAAATTCAAACAGCGTTCGATAGCCCCACCCGGGAACTACCTTGTGACCAAATTTCATTGACCTAGGTCAAACCGATGACGTCACAGGTCAGGTCAAAGGTCAGATTTTTACCGTTCACAGGCAATTCAAGAAATGTGCTGTGATAGCGAGTAAATTGGTAATTTATTGAAAACCATCGATGGTACATTGTTCGTCAAACACATACTTTGCTATCTGAGGTCACTGATACCAGGTCAGGTCACAGCGAGGTCAGGTCACCGGGGGTCACAATATGAATGTGTCGTGTGATACATGTTTTATGGTCCATTTTACATGACAAATGCGATTATGTGGGTTAGGCAGCCTTTGGGGCCAGCCTAGGTCACGTTTTGGTGAAGGTCAGGTCAAGGTCAGGTCAAATTAGGTCAAATTTCAAAGTTGATATTTTTGCATAAAATGGGTATCGATTCGATGCAGCTCGTCACGGGGAGTCTAATGGTGGTCTTCGTTTTGCTCTACGAGTTCTAGAATTGCCAAAAATTGAGTTTGAAAATTTGACGTCATCATTTTTGAACAGTTTTTTCGCTATAACTTGGCCAAAAAACGAGGTATCGATCTGAAATTTATTATGTGGATATAAAACGGTAGGCACTATCACATATATTCCGGTTTTTTTTTGAAACTCAAAAAACTTTTTGGATTTTTTGGCGAATATATCCAAAAAAAAATGCTTTTTTTTCATTTTTGGGGGTCAAAACTAAAAAATTTCAACAATTCGAGATAGCAGTTTTGTAGCCCTGTCAATTCTACACCTTTTATGTCTGATCATTTTTCTGTATCTTCAAAGCTGTAGTCCTGACAGGTCTTCTCGCGAAGGTCTTTTTTCGGTCGAAAATGACAGAACATGACGTCACTCTGACGTCATTTGTGGCCAACCTATCATAGCCTCTGGAAAAATTTTTGGTCACAATGTGTAAAATTGATGCCCGGAAGGGTCCTGAAAGTTTGGTGGCGATATCTCCAGCCGTTTAGGAGATATCGACCGAAAAGGACAGGGGGGCCGTTTCGGCCCCCCCTACGGGGCGCGGGTTAACAAAGCACAGAATGTACAGTCCACAGCAGAAGTAATGTGGGGTTTCAGTCATGGGTATGTTCTGCTTCTGAAGCTTAGGAACGATTAGCCAGACACAATGAAACTTTGAATGTAGCTTATACATATAACATATGTATCGTCACTAGAGTTGCAAAGTTTTCCCCAAAGGCTGCTACCGGCACCGCCCCGCCCCACAAAAATTTTCTGGGATACCGGCATGCTACCACGCCCCAAGCAAAAAAAACCGCCAAATTACCGGCATCCTAAAAAAACCTGCATTCTTGATTCTAGATTACCCCTACAAGAGATGCCACATTTTGGCAGTTTCAGTACCTGTCCCACCCAGCAGCCATCCATTATCCAACCACAAATACCGCCAGGCTGATTTTGGCTGAGTTGGCCCCACAAATACCCAAAATTTTGAAACTCAATTCCAGTCTATACTGTTAAAATATCACCTGTAATCAAAGAGGTATTGCCTACAAAAAAACTAACACATTCATCAAAAAGGCGAGGACAAAAAGAACTTGAATTACTGAAATGTGTTTCTAAAGACTGGACAGTGAGCATTGAGCAGTAATCACATTTACATTTCACAGGTGTTCTACTTTTCCACATTCTCCTAAAATGTTGCAGGCACCAGCCAAACGTTTAAAATCTAGATGGTCAAAACATAAACAAGTACAGATTCGGCCATCTTCCTAACTGAGGAAGCGAGATCAACATCTACTGTTTCCTATCCACCATGGCTTGCTGGTTCGTGAATAAGATACGAATCATGTAAAAAAAATGAGTTAATAACTCACTGGTCCTGAGAACAGTCACCAAATAATATGTACAAAAACGATATCTTCCATCCTCTCCAACCTCAAACGGGAAGAAACACAAGGTCTCAGAGGGCCTGATTTCGAAACAAATGCGCCATAACAGAGGCTTTTAACCAGCTGAATAAAACGCTGCAAAAAAAGTTTTACGACTGCAAGCCACTGCCTCGTGAATGATTATATTAATAAAAATTATCCAACACAATATTACATTATAATGAAATCAACAATGTGAGTGTAATTCACTACAAGAAAATTCATTTCTCTTCAGTTTTTCAACCAAAAAAGGGTATATGAATGAACCTATTACGTCATCAGATTACCTACATCCATTCATTAGGGGAGAGAGCATCTTAAAAGTAAATGCTTGCAGTGGCGGATCCAGGGGGGGGGGGCAAAATGGGCATTTGCCCCCCCCCCCCAAACGGCATGATTTTAACATTACGCCTATGGACGATGCATGGAAAGAATCGATAAATTTTTATCGTTTGCCCCCCCCCCCCCCAAACCTCTGAGCTGGATCCGCCTCTGAATGCTTGGTTGTATTATTTTGCGCCACTGTGTCAATTTTTTGCCTGCATGATGTGTTTTCTTGTAAAGATACGACAAAATGTCAGTTCAAATCCATTTTCATTTAATTATGGGACCAAAGTCAGGCTCAGGGCTACCTAGCGCCTGCCTTTTCAGCTGGATTTTCAGTGTCAACAAATTCTTTGTAGAGTTTCTCAGACCACATCTCATTATCTCAGGACTCAAGGCCAGTTTCCAAACAATGTGTTTTTTGGTGTTTTGATTCTGCCTTTTCCCCTAGGGAATGTTGCCATGAACATTTATTTATTTTTTTGTGTGTTATACATATTACCTACCATTTGACTTACTAATTGATCGTGCTTTTGCAACATGAATGAGTACCATTACAATTACTCCTTTTATAGACCACAGTAGATTCTTGACAATTCTAATTATAACCAAGCCTGTGAAATGCTGAGGTCCATGTGTTACCCCTACCCTTAGCAATGGAACTTCTACCACAAAATGTATCTTGCAGTGGTTAATATTGCTGTTTTATTACAATTTGAGAGCCTCTTAGTGTCCAAAGTTTAAATCTTTTGCTGATATATTTTTTTTGCACAAAATCAAAAATACCGGCATGCTACCGGCAAGACATGCCATATACCACGAAAAAACCTGCGGTAGTGAAAAATTACCGGCATGCCGGTAGTGCGGTAGGGAAATTTTGCAACTCTAATCGTCACCCTTGCAGCTGCAACTTTAGCTATTGACATTTCTTTTTGATCACTCCGCATTAAACAATCGCCAGTCAAAACCAACCGTTGAGATTGGTAAAACCCTACATTACTTTAGCGGTGGGCTGTACATACGAGTATGATACTGTGGTGCTGTGGGGCTGTTCACCACATATCAGTGACTGGATTTTACGTTAATCAGAAATGGAAAATATCAACCTGGTGCGTGTTCCAAAAATTCAATCAGTTCGATCCAAACGGCCCCAAGTAAAAGAATTAATTTAAGGAGCGGGTTGTTATATTTAAATTACCAAAACGAAGTCAAAAACCAAAACAGCGAATCAGACA